AACCTACAATGTCGTGGTTGCCTCCTTTGAAACGGAAGTTTTATGGAAAATTGCAAGTCATAACTCATAAATTTTATAAACCATCCTTTCAAAATCTTGGAAAATTGCTTGACAATAGTGTCAAAGGATTCTTGAAAAGCTGCATATTGGATGTGATTGATTATATCTCGTAATATTCATATCGATCCAAAACCTCATCTCTCTTAATATCAACAAGTTACTGATGAAATTATGTATCTGGGGAGTTGTTTGAATATATAAAACATTTGACCTCAGTGACCTTCTGTTATGTATTATGGGTCTGTGCTTTTTGATAACTCCACAGGAGTTGTTTAAGATTTTGGCATGCTCCACACTGAACCATCTTTTAAACACAACGGTCCAATGCCACTCTGTAGGAGAAAACGTTTGGATATGGGGCAGAAAATTGGAAGACATGATGGGAACAGGAAGTCGGGGATAGGAAACTGGCTTTAATGGGGTTGGGAACCGGAAACTAGAGACCCAGTCCGCTCCCTCTACAATGTATTGTTTCATTGTTAAAAGATGATTAAATGTTGTTTTAAATACACAGAACACAATACAATACATAAAGCTAGAGACTGGAAGTGACAGGTAGAGTAACATGAGGAACTTCTACTCAAGTCTCTGTGTTGGAATAAACTTGGCCCATCGCGTGGGTCAAATATATTTGAATTTCCCATCAATTTCTTTTCAATTCCCAGAAGTCCTGGGATCATGATATTTGACCATAAGTAAGCAGTGGAAAAGGTATATTTAATTTCTATATATTTCAAAATATTTTTCCCGAACGACTTTACTTTCCAGCATTACAATGGACACCCTTATATGGATTCTCTCCAGATTTGTCCTTGTAAAACTATCGTTTTCGAGAATCCCGCGAGAGAGATTTTTTTTTACTATTTCCCCCCTAATCATTTGCGTATGCCGGATCGTGTATGGAAACCTGAAATGATTCAGGGTCTGTACAACTGTAGTAACATGTCCGAGGGACACCTATTTACGAGTCAGTTGTCTCCCTTTGCCCCTTTTACTGGTCATAAACGATGAACGAGAGTCCTTTTTATGGGGGATATTGATTCTCTCTTCTCCGTCCTGTAGCCGACGACGAATTTGCAAAGCCGCATCTATCTATAGCCACTGGTCGCAATACACAAGGCAGCTTACAACTAGCTAGTGTACACCGTGCGAACCTGTAGCGGTTTCCGCGGGTGACCGACAAGAAACTGAAATATTATGATTGGTGTATATCTGTCTGTATGTCATCAGGTCTTTACAACAATCATTAGGTATTTTCATCTTTTAATGTAATTTACAGATGGTCAGTTCAAGAACCACCGATGTTGTCAAAAGACATTTGGTTTGAAGATAGAAGAAGCGAGAAGAATCATATGAGCTTAAGGTTACAAAGAATTAACACGAGGCATTTTCGTTATGCTAACAAAGGTGGACAAAATACTTATAAAGTTTACTGGCGACGTACAACGTCGTGGAATTTCTGGACTTGACCAAAATACTACGAAGTAACCAGGCGAGAGTTAAATAGGAGAGAAGTATCAAAAGGGAGGTAACCAGGAGAGAGTCAACTAGGAGAGAAGTATCAGAAGGGAGGTAACCAGGAGAGAAGTAATAACGACATAAGTAACCAGGAGAGGTTAGCAGGAGAGGTAACCAGGAGAGACGGAACCAGGAGAGGTAACCAAGAGAGGTAACCAGGAGAGGTAACCAGGAGAGACAGAGCCAAGAGAGGTAGCCAAGAAAGATAACCAGGAGAGGTAACCAATAGAGATAACCAGGAGAGACGGAACCAGAAGAGGTTAGCAGGTGAGGTAACCAGGAGAGACGGAACCAGGAGAGAGGTAACCAGGAGATAACTAACCAGGAGAGAGGTTAGCAGGAGAGGTAATCAGGAAAGAGGTGAGCAGGAGAGACGGAACCAGGAGAGGTAACCAGGAGAGACAGAACCAGGAGAAAAGTAACCATAGGAAGGAAACCAAGTGAGAAGTAACTAGGAGAAACCAGGAGAGTAGTAGCTAGGAGAGATATAAGCAGGAGAAGAGTAACTTGGTGAGAAGTGACAAGGAGAGACGTTCCCAAGACAGGGTAACCAGGCAAGAAGTTAATAGGAGAGATAACCAGGAGAGAAGTAAACAGGAGACAGGTAATCAAGCAAGAGGTAACCAGGAGAAACCACGAGAGAAGTAACTAGGAGAGGTAATCAAGTGAAAGGTAACCAGGGGAGAAGTAACGAGGAGAGATGTTACCACCAAGTCAGAAGTAACCAGACGAGAGGTAACCAAGAGATAGGTAAGCAGATGAGAGGTTGTCAGGAGTAAGGTTACCAGGAGAGAGGTAACCAGGAGAGAAAAACCAGAGGAAATCAGACAAGAAATAACTAGAAGAAGAGACGTTTCCAAGACATAAGTAGCCAGGCGAGAGGTGACAGACATAACCAGGACAGAAGTAACGAAGACAGACATAACCAGGATAGACATAACAAGGACAGAAGTAACCAGGGCAGACATAACCAGGACATAAGAGCCCTCTCAACAATAATATATACAATGAATGTGACAACAGCTATGTAAGTTACAACTTATTTTTAAATGTAAAATGTAGTAGGGAAAAAAGAAGGGAAGAAAAGATGGGAGAGGAAGAGAAGCAATTGATTTAACAATCTGACGTAGTCAACGCTCATGTCTGGCACTATAACTGCACAACACATCATTCCTTCTTACACAGTTCATTAAAACACCATTGCTATAGGCCATCTCGTTCTCTTCAAGGCTTTCAATTAAGCTTAACTAAAGTGCCAGGCAAACATTCCTCGTAATTAATTAATAACATTCAATATTAAAATTAATATAGTTACAAGTAGTTATTAGGGATACAGAAAGGAGAAGAGGGCAAGATCACCAATTCACAGAGTGAAGTCAGAATCTGTTGCTGGCCCGCATGTATATATGTTTGTACGATGTGAAAAATATCTTCGTTTTCAGTAACGGCAAGTTCAGATTTTCCAGACAAAAGAATTTCGAGATTAATTGAGTAATACGGACGCAAATTTACAAACATGTTTGCTCTCAAAGTAGTATAATTAGGACATTAAAAAAATAATGATATGCATCTTCACAAAAATGTCCACAAGAACATGATGATGATACTACTAAGTTTACACGGTACAAATCGTTATTTAACGCACTGCAGTTATATCTTAATTTAGTATGAATTATATTTAAACGACGTGGTCCGTCACTAAAAAAAACAGTAGATTTGTTTTGTCTTGGACTGATAGCTTTTCTAAATATAGACACAGATGGTTGATTTCTTGTTTCATCGGGAAGATTGTTCCAGAGTTTAATAGTGCTAGGCAAAAAAGACAGTTTGGTATTAGTTAATCTATAATTCGGTAATACATAATCATTGTTATTTCTTAATTCATACCTGTTAAGATTACTGTTAACTGTTGGTAAAAGATCGTGTAAATAAGAAGGTGTTAGATTATTATGGATCTTGTAAAATAAAAAACAAATTTCTTCTATTTCGTCTGTTTTCTAATGATTCCGACCCAGTTTCGAAATATAATGCTTGCCTAGTAACGTAACTTGGTGGACTGGTCACAATTCTCGCTGCTTCTAATTGTAATTTTTCTAGTAAATCAGAATGAAATTTAGAACAACCACTCCAAACTTCACAAGAGTATTAAAAAACTGGCAGTATAAATGAGGTGTAAATTTTAGATAGAGTTTTTCTATTTACTAAAAATTTTAATTGCCTTGACCTTTTTTAATACTGACTGATATATAAAGTCAACACGAGGAAAAACCATAAGTCAATGAAGTATCGTAGGCAAACAAACGTGATACACTTAATAATTCATCAGCTATATCATTGATGTATATTAGGAACAAAAGAGGCCCTAAAATTGAACCTTGTGGAACTCCAGTTTTCAATTGTTTGGTAATTAGAAAAATGTTCACCTACAAATACTCTTTGTTGTCTTGATTTTAAATAATGTATTAACCAGTTCAGAATGTTTCCTGATATACCATAAGATTTAAGTTTTGATACTAGACCCTTGTGCCATGGAGGAGTGGACGGTCTCCCGCATGTTGTTCAGTGAAGTCATACAAAATATTATCTTAAACCCCGGAGAAAAGGGCTTTATCCATTGTTTCATTAATATTCACATATAAATTTAATCACTTTTATTTCATAAGGAGCCAATTTCAAGATTAATATGATCATAACATGGCTTAGTATGTTAGAAACCACGTGGTGCTAAATATTCAAATACATGCAAATTCAAATCCCAACAATCTTGCACAGACACCTCCGGAGAACTGCGCCGCAAGACAGAAATGTACGATGATCCCTTCAATAACAGTTTGATATACAATTTCCAAACTATGAACGCAAATTAGAACGTTTCAGTTTTATTCTCTCAATACAATATTGATAAGTAGAATTCTGTTAAGGCGTCATCCTAGGTTTTCATAACTTTACAGACAAGTTTGGGCCATTTCGTACTCTTAATTACATAATTTAATGAATATTTAACGTTCAAACTAACTACAGCGAAAAGCTGTTAACTTGTAATTAAATGCAAATATTCTGGCAACAGAAATGGAATTTGTCATATAATTTTATGACAAAACTACACGGACATTAGAGTAATGCAGACCGTAAAGTATTTTTAAAAATCAATCAACCCAGTCTACTATCATCAACATTTATATTTATCAACGCGACCTGGCTCCTTATTTGTTATTTTCACAAATTAAGTTTTGATAGATAAAGTATATTTTTTAATATACCTATATGTACTGTAATTTACCTATACGTTGTTTCAGCCCAATTCCTCTGTTTCAGTATTAATTAAGCTTTCATATTGTTTGACGATTTCCCGCGCCAGAAACTAGTTGCGGATGCACCGGAAGTCGCCGAAGATGTCCGGAAAATACCGAGTACTACAACAACATGGACGGGCGACGAGAGTTAGCACTAATGTGCGAGTAATGAGAATTGTTTTTCTATTCTGGAGACGAAGACAAACCAAAGCAAGGTATACATCACAAGTAAGGTTCATACTGGTAAGAAAATGATAAGCGTGCAGGTATGCAAATGTTTGAAATATTGGAGGAAATCTCTCTGGAGATCATGTTGGCACACAAAGGAAAGAAGTCACCAAGTGACAGCGCCAGCGGCTGATTTTTATTACAACAAGGATCTGTGTCCAGCATACCTCGCTCGGGAATTTTGATCAAACAATGAGACATATGGCTCGTTAGCTTTCATCAAAAAGTTACCATGATGCTTTGTGCTTCTTAATTAAAATCCTTAACTTTTGGAAAACAGACAGATCGGGTTTTGGCCTAAATATCTCTGGTTTCCACATTTGCCTACCGATGATATTTGTACAAATTCAAGCCCCTGTTCATTTTTCTTAAGCAGTTGATATGTCATACACCTTTTAATATATCGCAACAACACAAGCACGAAAGTTTAAGTATAACAGATATTTGCACACATTAGTAAATGATTCGCGTATTTCAATAATCTAAATGACCTACATCAGCTACGTAACCAGTTTTGACGGATTCAACATGTGAAAATGAAATCATGACAAGATACAAGAAAAACAAGATGGAAGAATGTTTTTCTTAAGATCGTGTTTTGAACAGGTAACAGTTCTTATGACTATTAGCATCAGTAAAACAATAAACACAACAAAATGTCACAATAAGGTCATGCATCACATATAACTGAATATAAAGTAACCCAGCACATTAATGAGACATGTCTGATGTAGTTATATACCATATGGTAAAAACTAAAACATGACAGGATACATTCTTCTATAGCAATATCTAAAACAATGCAACATTTATGAAAGTGTATTTCTGAAAATTGCAATATAGATGTTTTATCAGCACAAATGTAAAAAAAAACCCAAAAAAAATACAGACAAACAAAGCAAAGGTAATGCAAAAAAATAACAAAATGATGTAATTTGAAAAGGTAGAGATAGAAATGATACTGTCTCCAATTGTGAAGACTTAATAAACAAAAAAATGAAATCAAGGGGACGTGGACAGTGAGGTCAGACCAGATAATTACTGTTGATAAGATTGCAATATAAAGCAGGTCCAGAGTTCAAGTCTTGGTCAGAACCTGCAGCATTTTCACTTTCCTGTTACTCTTCTTATTAATTGATAAGTGCAATATTCCAGTTTATGCATTAATTAAAAATTGGAGAAAATATAATGAAATCAGATTAACCCATAATGTTTTTAATTTTTGATGAATTTGGATACAATACCTATTTTATGAGGAGTGCAATAATTATATATGGTTGGATATTAAACATAGTATGCATTGTCCAACAAATGTGTTCAGATTCTAAAAATGGTGTTGATTTTCTGTGATTTAATCAGTAACTGTACAGAGTTGTATAATAGTTCTGTGTTATTTCTTTTCAGACATCAAAACTGACAGTTTGTAAGTGATATATTGAATTTAAAAACAAATATGTCTGAACAACAACAGCAACAACAACAACAGCCTTCACAACAACAGCAGCAACAACATCCACCTTCTTCTGCACCTCAGCATCAACCAGCCCAGCAACAATCCAGTCAAGGACAACAGCAACAGGCACACCCCCAACAACAGCAGCAGCAACAGCAACAACAGCAGCAACAACAACAACATGTCCCCCAGCAAAACCAGCAGCAACACCAACAGCCCCAGTCCTCACAGCCTCAGGTACGGCTGGCCGTAAGTGTTACAAATATGATCAATCAAATTTTTTTGGATGATATGATGAAGACTTATCTTTTGTTTACACTCTCTAGGTACTTTTGTCAGTTTTCAACTACACAATCATAGCATTTAATGTTCAAAGTTTTAATGCAGAAAATAATGTAAAAACATTACACTGCACATTATCTATTGCATTAGGAATCTCAATCAAAGAAAAATTATGTTGGAGGCTAATTGAAATTCAATTGTACGAATATATTTGCCAGTGAAATTATTGTCATTCTTGAATCCAAGAATAAGGGTTATGTCCCTTTTATAGATAGGGAAATTGGATTATCACCCAAGGTCTGTTTGCACCCTTACTCTCCTTTGGTTCAAGATTAGAGACTAAAAGTACATATATGTAATGTTGTATTTAAAACCATGCCACTGTTATCATATAATAAATACTATTTAAATGCTGTGAGAAATGAAATCCAATACTACATGTGTTAAAAGATAGAAATAAAATGTATGATTTTTTCCCCTACGTTGTTACAGGTACAACAGGCACAGCCACCGACATCCCTGCATTCTGTTTCAAATATGGGCACTTCCCTACCAGTGACTTCCATGACAACTAATACCATGGCAACCATGGTTGCAGCAGGGATACGTAACCCTATACCACAGGTTCAGGTCATCCCACAAATGCACAGTCCACCGTACATATCACAGTTTCCATACAACCAGCAACAGATCATGCTACAGAATGCCGCCATGCAGGGTAAGCTTTGATAAACCTACAGATATTGTGGATTAATTGTATTAAGGTTTCCAGTAAAACTTTCGTGTACTGTGATCTTAGTCTGTTTCACTAAGTTTGCTGACAATTTGAAATCAAGATTGTTAAAATGTATTGCTGGAAAAGAATGTACATGCTTATTACTCATTAAGTTAAGTAATACAACAAATGAAATAGGTTGAATGTTAAACTGTTTTATGAAAATCAGGATCATCCTTTTTAAGGAAAGAAAAGTGATTTATTTGCCCTTTTATAAAGAAACATGTCAACATTGTTATCAAGTCTTGAGACCAAAAATGATACACGAGTCAAAACAATGATGACCAATATTTCATTGACCACTTTTTAGGGACTTTTCATCGAAAAAACTTTGATTTTAATCAAAACTATTGAAGTTGTATACTAAATTTGTTATTACATTGACACTCTTGTAAGATTCTTTATTCAATATTGACTAAAACAACATTCTACATTTGGTAATTTGAACTAAATAATATTTTACAGAAACAACTTTTCTGGGAATGAAATTGTCCAATTTTTGTGTTTTTCAGCTGCCATGCAGGCCAGTGCTATGAACATGAACCTAAACCCACAGCAGCTCAACATGAATATGAACATGGCGGCCATGGCGATGCAGCGACAGCCTCAGTCTGTTAATAATAATCTAAACAGTCCTGGCAACCTCTTGTCACCCAGCCCAACAACACCAACCCAGGTAAGTATCTTATAAAAATATGTCAGAAAAAATCTATTGTCACCCAACCCAACTACACCAACCCAGGTAAGTATCATACACCAAAACATCTTAAACAAGAGGCCCATGGGCCTTAACGGTCATCTGACATCAAATACAAGATTTAAGATTTTGAACTCAAGAAGTCGAAAATGTGTTTTGAAGATGGCGGCCATGCTGGATTTTGGACCAACTTGAAATTAACAAACTTTGGTCAGGATCATGTCAATATATAGAACTAGAAGTTGAAAATGTTTACGCCGGACGACGCCGGACAAAAGGCGATCGCAATAGATCATCAGACCCTTTGGTCAGATGACCTAAAAACCTGTCATCATTAAATCCCACCACACCAACCCAAGTAAACATTACTTAAAAAACACACCTGAAAAGATCTGTCACCACAAAACCTGGCTACTCTCAGGTAAGCCCTGCATAAAAATTGATGAAAAATAAGCCATTACTGAGCCGAAAACACAATTCCAGGTAAATGTCACACAAAAAGCTGAAACAGAACAGCAGTATGTAACAAGCAAAGAATCAGCATTGCTTGGTAGATCCATGTGTCTTAGGAATGAATAAAAACTACAAGTTTTAATAAAGCTGTTTTTGAAGGGAATTGTTGTGCTATTGAAGTTGCTGATCAAGAATGCATGTTTTATCTACAACATGCATTAATGTTATGCTTTAATTTAAGAGAGAATGTAAAACTTAATATTGGAAATATGAATCTGGAAAATAAATTGCTGTTGTAACTTTGAGATGTAATTTATGGTTATGCTTTACCAACAGCAAAACCCAGGAATGAATTTCAGCTCTGCAGTCACATCGCAGGTCAGCAACAGCAACGTGCAGTCTTCAAATGGGAAAGGCGGCTCAAATGGCAACAAAGGACAGACAACAGGGATGGGTCAGATACAACAGGCACAAGCTACAGCTTTGGTGGGAGGAAAACCTATTATGCCAACACAAGGCATGCAGACTGGTGGTCCCCAACCATTGGTGTTATCACAACTCAGTAAGTACTGTTGTAAATGTTTAGTCACTAGGTAAACTCATCTCCACACCCCTACACTACTCTACACAAGGCATGCAGACTGGTGGTCCCCAACCATTGGTGTTGTCACAACTCAGTAAGTACTGTAGTACTCTCTAGGTAAACTCATCTCCACGCCCCTACACTACTCTACGCAAGGCATGCAGACTGGTGGTCCCCAACCATTGGTGTTGTCACAACTCAGTAAGTACTGTAGTACTCTCTAGATAAACTCATCTCTACGCCCCTACACTACTCTACACAAGACATACAGACTGGTGGTACAACTTAGAATGTCATCTGTAGACTTGAAACCCCAAATAGAGCCCGAACAAGTTCATGGAAATTTAAATCCAGATGAAGGGGCTATTTGAATAAACTTGTCTTCTCATGTTGATGAAAACCTCAGACGAAGATCCAAGTTGCATGGTTCGACTTGCCCTACCTGTGGCGGTTTTTGTGTCTCAGGCAGCTGAGAAAACAGCAGGTCTGTGTGGTTGTGTCCTTTGGCAAGAATTTTACCTTAATTGCTCTAGTTGGCATGCAATAGGCCTCCCATATGTTGTTCAATAATGAAGTCACCAGCTACTACAAAGAGACATCTCCTCACAATGTTCCTGGCTGTTCACCAAGCAATAAACCCTGAAAACCAACAAATAAGCATAGTACTGCTTTTTATTTATAATACCTGTATGAAATAGAGTCCTTTTACAGGTTTTTATGTATTTACTATTTATAGGTGTGCTCCCTAACCCACCAGTGGCTAACACACAGGGATTTGTTGCTGGACATGTAAGTAGTACTTTTAGAAGTAAATTTTAAAGTGATAGTTCTATACAGTAGTTTTCTTTGATATTATCACATGGTATCACCCTAGTGCACTTGTTAAATGATTCTATGTCTTTGATACCTATCAATGACATACTGTCGTAGACCTACCTCCCTGGGTGCTTTTGCTTGAAAGTAGAAGTCCATATAATTTAATGAAAATAGTGCAATATCTTGCGTATAAACTATTCTTATGTAAACTTCATGTTTATCTTGTGATTTTTTTATGAAATGTTTTATTCTCAGACCAAAGGACAGTCAATGTCCCTGAGCCAGGCTGGTCAGTCACAACTCATCAACACACAGGCACCGATACGTTTCTCTCAACCCCAGATTGTGTCTAGTACGGGTCAGATAATCTCCTCTCATGTCCAGCCCATGTTAGCCAATCAAGCGGTCCTGCAGGCCATGGCAAGTCTCCAGCAACAGGGGATTCCATTGGCTCATCAGCAACTCCTCTCTGCGCCTGGCCAGTCACCAACCATCTTATCTGCAGGACAGTCACTTTTCTTACGGCCTGCTAGCCAGATACCAACACAGCAGGGTATGATGACAGCCACAGGTGTTCAGACTATAGGACCAGCCATGAAAGGTGGTCGCATGGAGATGCCACAGAATTTGCAGGTCAAATCTAATCCAGGGTCAGTGGCTTTGTCCAAACAGGCAGCTGGAGGTCAGTCTGCAGGTAAAGCTATCCTTCCATCATTAGTTAAAAGTAACACTGCCAAAATACCGCCAACACAGATGATAGGCCAGAGGACAAAGTTATCTATACCAAGTCTGCCCCGAACACCAAAGGGTCGACCACGCAATCAAAACAAGAGTACAGCAGTGACAACTGCCACTGCAGCTACTAACACTGTGGCATCAGCCTTAAAAGCCACTGCTGCAGCGACAAGTCAGTCGAAACCTGCAACGCCAACTACTCAAGTTGTGAATCTGACCACGCAGGCAAAGAGTCAGTCGGATTCAGAGTTAGAAGCTGCAAAGAAAGCTACACCACTTGAATCAACTAGCAATGGAATCACAGAGGCCAGCCAGGCAGAAGTTGGACCTAAGGTAAAATTAAATTAATTATTTGGGAATTATTTCGAATGAAAATAAATTACTTGCTGATAATGTAGAAATATTATTATTTCAAGATTTGGCTAAGTGCTCTGTAAACCATTAATAAAAATTGTGTTATTTTTAGGAACCCCCTGCTTCAGATCCACATCTGGTGAACTCAACAACAGACCAATCAGAGAACCCAATGGATACCAATGAGAAGGTGGAAACAGTTGCTGTGGCACCGATTATGGTGGAGAAACAGCGGGCTATTGTGAAACCTCACATCCTTACTCACGTGATAGAAGGGTTTATCATACAGGAAGGGCCAGAACCCTTCCCTGTAAGTAACCAGTTCAACTATCAATTTTCAAATGTTTATGTATGTGTATGTTTAAAAGAACTGATAAATTGATCCAGCAATCAAGATTCTAAAAACTTTTTCTGGGATCCACCAGTTCAGTTTCTTTCGTACCCCAAAATTTAATTGTTCAGAGCTGTGCTCGTAGATCATCAAAAAAGAATTCTTTTTTATTTCTGTTGTCTAGGTGGAGAGGTCTTCACTACTCACTGAATTTATCCCACCGAAGCCTGGACAGACACCTTCTGACGACAAAGAAACAGACCTAAACGGAGAATCTCCGATGGAAAGTAGCCACTCTTCTCTAGTTAACAAAGCAGGTAAGTAAATTCTGTAAATGTCTTATATTAGATATTTTTACATGTGATATATTATTATCTTTACTGTGAGAATGCTGTTGTATTTCTGGTGTGAAAAGGAAATCTGACATATGATAGCAGTGATGATATAAAAAATCTTACATTATTACAAGTGATGGTATAACATTTCCATTATTACAAGTGATGGTATAACGTTTCCATTATTACAAGTGATGGTATAACGTTTCCATTATTACAAGTGATCGTATAGCGTTTCCATTATTACAAGTGATGGTATAACGTTTCCATTATTACAAGTGATGGTATAACGTTTCCATTATTACAAGTGATCGTATAACGTTTCCATTATTACAAGTGATGGTATAACGTTTCCATTATTACAAGTGATGGTATAACGTTTCCATTATTACAAGTGATGGTATGACGTTTCCATTATTACAAGTGATGGTATGACGTTTCCATTATTACAAGTGATGGTATAACGTTTCTATTATTACAAGTGATGGTATAACGTTTCCATTATTACAAGTGATGGTATAACGTTTCCATTATTACAAGTGATGGTATAACGTTTCCATTATTACAAGTGATGGTATAACGTTTCCATTATTACAAGTGATGGTATAACGTTTCCATTATTACAAGTGATGGTATAACGTTTCCATTATTACAAGTGATGGTATAACATTTCCATTATTACATTTTACAAGTGATGGTATGACGTTTCCATTATTACAAGTGATGGTATAATGTTTCTATTATTACAAGTGATGGTATAACGTTTCCATTATTACAAGTGATGGTATAACGTTTCCATTATTACAAGTGATGGTATAACGTTTCCATTATTACAAGTGATGGTATAACGTTTCTATTATTACAAGTGATGGTATAACGTTTCCATTATTACAAGTGATGGTATAACGTTTCCATTATTACAAGTGATGGTATGACGTTTCCATTATTACAAGTGATGGTATGACGTTTCCTTTATTACAAGTGATGGTATAACGTTTCCATTATTACAAGTGATGGTATAACGTTTCCATTATTACAAGTGATGGTATAACTTTTCCATTATTACAAGTGATCGTATAACATTTCCATTATTGCAAAACCTATTTATTGCGATTCTGTAATTGGTGTTTGCAAGGATGGGATGGAATCATCGAGAATAGATACAAGGATAAAGTCGTCATGAGAGACCAACAAATTCTAATTGATAATTTCCATAAAAAGTTCATAATCATTTTACATGTAGATGACTAAAATAAAGGTTTTGTCTTTTATGCCACAGGAATTGTTGCTAGTCTCATTTTTATATGACAAATAGAAGTTTCCTCCCAATTACTACAGAATTGATCATTTTCAACAGGGGAAAGCACAAGAAGACCATTTGTCAAATGTGAGTTTTGTGGTAAAGATGAACAATCTACAAGGTTTAAGAAGTCAAACCGGTTTTGTTCAATGCCGTGTGCGAAGAGGTTTAATGTTGCTTGTTCACGCCGTATATCCTTGTTCAGGGTTCGTGGTCGACCACGTAAGTAGTCTTAAACATGCATCCCCTTAATTTTCTAAACTTTATCACATTTAAATTTGATTTTTCTTCAACAATTAAAAAAAACCAAAATGGATTATGTATATAGAATTTGTTCATAAAGAGAAAATAGTATACAAGTTTTGAGTGTTAGGAATACATATTTACATTTGCATTGCCAAGCACACTATATTACTAGAAAAAGGAATATACATTAGGATATGAAAACTTGTGCCATTTATGCAAGGTTCATGCAATGTAAATAACTGAATGATGAACCTTCATAACACCATGAAAGATAGAGAATTGACATTCAGTCTTTATATTATCAAATTATTCATACTGACCAGACAATTTCCCTAAGCAACGCTTCAGGAAATAAAGTGTCTTTGAGGCAAACTCATTTCTTTTGATAAGTAGAAATTCTGATAGATATAAAAATGCAAAGACTAGTGTCGATGCTGAAATGCCAAATGCCTCCTCCGAAAAGATTGCGGAACCCATTTACCTATCAGGCTCATCTGTGTTTTGGTATTATGATCAATAATTAGTAGAAGAGGCAGAGTATTTGTAAGGTCTACTCACATTTCACTTGATTAGCTTGGTCATTTAGTGTAAAAATCTTCAGGGGAATTAATCTTCAGGCATGTTCAAGTATTTTGATTTGACTAAATTTCAGCTTGACAATAAATTAGAGCAAAAGCTGTATGTAGATTTAAAAATTTATACAATAGACGTAAATTAATTTCTACATAATTACATCTCCCAACTTTTGGGGCGGGGGGGACCAGATATATATTTTAAAACAAAACATTTTCATAGGGCTCAATTTTGTTTTTGATCGGGTGGATAATTATAGCACAATAAATCTACTTAAACTTATTTGAAGAGTTTGAAGGTATATATGATTTCATGGATTAAGTGTACCTTTGATGTCAACCAAAATTAATCTTTCACAAAAATTAGTGATTTTTCAGTAGTAAAATATTCAATATGATATTCACTAGATTGGTACTTCTGAAAACAGAAAAGTAAAATTAACGGTTCTAACTACGACAAAGATATTAATAATAAATTAATTTCTGAAATCTTGATATGACGTTTTGTTAGTTCGCCTCTGTTTTTGTTTCAGCTTCACTAGCAGCTGGTGGCAAGGTAATCAAAAAGAAACCAATGTTTGGGGTGAGAAAAGGCTGGCGACAAGGTGGACGTGGATCGCGCATGTCATACAACGTTAGTATACGGTCTTATGTTGTCATATTGATGTGGTATTCGTGTTGGAGACTTACTGTGGTGTGATTAAAGAATGGGGTACTACTAGGGGAATTTTATGTGTCTAAGAAGAAAGGAACAGCTCAGTTCACTTGGTAGGGAGATTGGGGCGAGGGATAGGATCTGAAACCGTCGTTGGACAAGTTGCATTATTGTTTGGTATTAAGTTTTGTTAAGGTGAATTATGGAGAATGTTTTTGTAAAACAAAAAAAACTAAACAAACAAAACGGGAAAAGACAGAATAGGCAAATGGTGTCAGAAAAACCCAAAAGCTTGCCTGATTGATCAGTCCTATACTATTTCACTAAGTAGCCAAAGAATTTATGAATATAAAATGGTTTTGAAATGATGGATTATGGTGTACTAAATGTCAATACTCAGCAATTTTTTTTTTTTTTTCTCATCTATTGGAAAAAAATAATGTTCAACTAGATGTTTCAAAATTTGGTCTGCAGGTACAAACTGAAGACAGATTTCAGTAAAATAATTTTTACATTTAGTATGAATGATTTCACCGGTGTACACCAAGGCTAAGATGTCAGTATTTTATTGTATCTACACACATATTTCACCAAATATGCATCAACATATAGTCATAATAATGAAGAAAAATCAATGTTTACCCTGTTATGTCTGCAGCTCTCTGGAGAAATGGACGTGGATGACAATAGCCAGTTTGATCATGCGGAACAGAGCAGTTCTCCAAGCTCTGAGAACGAAAGCAGCATGACACCTGACTCACCAACCACAGTACAGGGCCAAGGGGATGGCGACTACCAGGACACGCCACAATCCAACCCAGCTCGCTGGAATGTAAGTATCACAGCCTGAATAGCAAGTTAGATGTTAATATTACCGAGCTGTCGGCTAATGTTAATCACTTTTGTTGGCCCGGATGGTAGCTCGCAACGGGTTTTGCTGTGGGAGGAAAATGGAGTACCCAAGGACAACCTATGTAGTCAGGCTGGTGACCCCGCCCCCCTTCCCCATATTTTTTTCACATCTGCTTGGGGAATAGGAATTTATGCATGTATGAAAAAAATTCTACTTTGACTTTCAGAACAGTCCAAGAGACTAAATATTATTTCTTGATCTTTGTTTTGACATGTAGGGCACTGCAATAGAAAAATAAAATTGAAGGCTGATTTTGTTCCATTATTATATATAGTAAAACAACGCTGCGATATTTGGAGTTCGGGAATCATTTCAGCATTAAGAATTTCTAGTGTTGGTCATGTCTTTGGCTTCACTGAAAGCATATGAGAAGATAGTATTTGAATTAATTCAGTCTTAATGAACATCTGATGGTCAAAGGCAGTTCCGAAAAAGAAGATAAGAAAGACTTTGTTTAAAAGAAAAAGCTTTTGTGCCACAGACATTTTACAGGAGGTTGTGGGGGTGTGCTATCCATGTCAATCTGTCTAAGGGTCTGCTTCATGTTCCATATCATAGTCACATATCTTGTGAACTTCTCACAGATTTACTGTATAGAATCTTTTCTAGACATAGTGTCTTTTCTTGTTTCTTAAACAAACATGACACATGTGTATCCATGAAAAAGCTTATGCAATGAAATACTTTTTGAAATAGTATATTGTCAAAAGAGTTGACGACTCTGGTTGAAACTACTCCGAAGTACTGTAGCTTGTGGTACTTTAAGTTTTGTGCATCATGAAAAATGTGAACATATTTGCAAGTTTGAGTAATAATATGTAAGTTTGATTTTCTACTTACAGGTTGTGGAAGTGTATGAGTTTATCAAATCTATGCCTGGCTGTGCACCATATGCTGAAGAGTTCCGATCGCAAGAGATTGATGGTCAGGCACTGATGCTCCTTAAGGAGGATCATCTTATGACAGCCATGAGCATGAAACTTGGACCTGCCCTTAAAATCTGTGCTCGTATTAACAGTCTGAGAGACGAGGCTGTGTAAATTGTCAATTGTGACTTTTCAATGGAATAGTTATAATTCTCTAGAAAATTTTTTAGATGGAAAACATGAATCAAAGGATTATGGATGAATAATGATAATTATTCCTGAGATTATACCCTGAAATATGGTTACATTTCATCATTGGTTTGGTGAATAATCTTAAATTTCATCTAAATAACAGATGAGATCTTTTGACTTTCATAAATCACTGAGTTATTGATCGGGTCAGTTGGAGGACCCTTTCAAAGTTCATTTAGTGCTGATACAGTCATACAGTAAAATCATCAATTTTTGTGGTGTATTTATTCTCACTGATTTTGTGGGCCCTCCTATTGATTTTGTGGGCCCTCCTGTTGATTTTGTGGGCCTTCTCGTTGATTTCGTGGGCCTTCTTAATTCACAAATTTATATGAGTAGATTTATTAAGCTATTTTTAGTCACAAATGTTAAGTGTCGATGAAATACTTATTTGAAAAAAACCTTGAAAATAGAGCCCCACAAAAATATATGATATTACAGTATACATGTAAAGAAAATGCTGGTATTTAAGATATATTAAGTACTAGTGTGCTTGATTGTTATATAAACCATTATCTTGCTGTGGTATACATTTGATAATTCATGATCGATTTTTTAGATATATGACAACTTTCATCAGAATTCTTGTCTATCGAAAACATTAAATATGTAATATTTGGTGCAAAAAAAGAGAGGAGATGGTTATTTATTTGTTGTGTACAAAAATCTGTGTGGAGTATTCGTTTTGAATAGTAGAGGTGAACAAAACAATACAGGACGTATCATCCTGTTGATGTAAGTCTTGAAGTTTCTGTTTTTTATTGTTGTGCAATCATTGGTGCAAAAATGTATGACACACTTCGCTGCTAAATGGCTACTTCAACAAGATAAGATGTGTGAAAATGCATTCGGATAAAATGTGTGGAAAATGGGTTAGATATTATATACAGCGTGTATATAGGACGGACACTGTAGTATTCATTTGCTTTGTGTACTGATGGTAACTTTGTCATCTTCATCATATTGATAAATATTTCTTCATGCAATTCTTAAATGTTTGTACGCGTATTGGACGTTTCACCTTTTATTTCATGTGTTTATGCGCCATATCAATGGAAAGTGCATGCTAGAAAGTCAGAAGATGATTGGTCTACATGTGTTTTACAGCCATCATATTTTGAGAGAGTGTGAGAAAGGATGCAGAAAAAAGGAGGGAAAGATGAAGAAAACAAGATACATTTGAAATTATTTAATGCACAAGTGGACACTATACAATGGTTCAATCTTAATCACAGACAGGTCAAAGGTTTATGATATTATTAACCTTGTGTTACTATTTTTAGAATTTTAGAAACAGCAGGTTCATATTTTCTTTTACTTTATCATTGATAAACATTGCTCTCTTTGGGATTCGCAACTTTTATAAAAATTTTTTTAGATAAAACGTCTTCATTCTATATCTACCAATTATGGACTCATTGTAAAGATGTGATTTTTTAAAAGTGATAAATGATATTTACCTTATTTAATATCTCATTCCTGGGCGAAAGTAAATGTGTACCTTTATGAAATTTGGTAAGTACACTAAATGCTTAGATAATAAATACTGTTTGAAATCTTCTGAAGTATGATTATTGTGGGAAGTTTGGTGTGTTGACAAATGAAGTTGTGGTTTCAGAGTGATCAATTTTTACATTTGAATTAGATGTCTGTAATTTTATATTTCTGTTTGTTTAACGTTTTTAAATTTTGATAAACCTGAAATCTTAGACATATATAAGGATAATATTCTAAATTTTCATCTGTTGTAATATTCAATTTCGATTGCTTAGAAATTTTTAGCAATTTTATGCCATGCCAAATATGTGATTTAAAAATTCTCAAAAAAAAAAAGAGATGAATGGAGATGACCTTCTTTACTTTCATCAGTGTTGTTGCCTTGCATACTTAACTTTCCTGCATATAATATCAGAGATTTATAAAACCATATTTCAAAAATTTAGATTGATATGAAACAACTATGAACAGATCTGTGTTTTATGTAGCGCTCATGTCATGAAACATGAAAGCTTCCTTTTCAGCAGACCTTGAGGTACTTGTAGTTTAAAACTTTTTCCCCCTTTGATCTTTCTAATACATGGGTAGTACGTCAGATAATGGCATTAAATGTGGCTTAAATTCTAGCGATTGCAAGACCTATTTTTCCTTTTCAAACCAGACCCAGGTTTTGTCAAAATATTTTCCAAATGGATATTTATAGCATATTCAATTACAAACAAGTTACAGCAATTGTTTATTGTATACGAAAATGTTTGTTTATTGTTTATTGAAAAACCTATAAAATGAAAATAGTAACCAAAGAAAATTCTTTAGAAATGAGTGTGAAATGACATATTTTTCAACGAATTTGAAAATTGTGTCATGTTATAGAAAATAAATGTTGGATTAGATAAGAAAGAGGACGACAAAACAATGGATGGAAGGTTGATAATTGTGCCATAGTTTATTGTAAATAAATGTGAGTATAGTACCTTATAGTGCCCGTTTTTAAACAGGTTGAATGTAAAGTTGTAGTATTGAATCACTGACTCTATATTACCTGAAAACAAACCACAATATCAAGTTGAATCGACAGGGTTGTGAAAAAGCTTGAAAGGACAATTTTCAATGTTGATCGTGGGACTGCTGGACAAATGATTACTGGAGTGCTGGATGTGTAAATTAATTTTAGATTTAGTAAACTCTGCAGCGACTTCTCTGTAAATCAGATGTTTTCTCAATAGGTTTTCTGTTGGTGTTATGATATTAGTTTCATGTAAAATTAGAATTAAAAGAGTGTTATTGGGAATTTTTATCCGATATCGTCATTCAGCGAAATTTTCATTGTGTACTGCCATCACTTTTCCACAAACTTTCATTATAACACTATGTCGTATTAAACAAAGGAAATTGCATTGAGTCTTGACACATTACTTGCTTACATTTGTTGTTAGTATCACAAAAGGAAAACAGATGCTAGGTTAAAGTCATAAAATTAAAGATGTTTAAATAGTCATAGATTTTAACAAAAGAAGAAATTGAGAAAACCTCTGATTGAATGATTTTCAGAAACAATGGATGTACATTATATTTACACAACGAAACGGCATTAAAACATTGATGTGAAGATATGAAAGTGAATGGTGTTTTTCTTTTCTATTTTAAATTAAAGAACTCCAGAGACCTTTGGAAAACTGTGAAAGTTAAAATTTGTGTAACAGTTACCTCCCTTGAAGCATCAACTTCTTGGTATGATGTCGATCTGATTTGAATGTTTTTTGTATGAAATAGCATTCTTTCTTCAGAAAACCCATTTGTGTACTTCAACGTACATTTAAGATACTTTTTTTATAAGCTCGTCGAAAGACGGGACATATTAGATTACTTATGTAATAACAATTAAATGGAATTCATTGAGGCAGTTTTATTGTCATGGAAGCTTGGTAACTTAGGAAGTGTCTACGGGGTTGTGAATCTGTCATAATGGGAGATTTTAACATTGATTTCAGCAAAAAGTCTGCTCACCAAAAACAACTTCAGTCACTTACTTCAAAGATGGATTATCGACAGCTTATAACGGAACCTACCACAGACTTTGGTACAACCATTGACTTGATGTTTTCCAATACTGATAATAAACTTCTTACAGGTGTGATAGAAACCTTCTACTCTGATCACAAAAAAGATTATTTGGATGGCACTTTAGCATGGTAAGGTAATCCTTACAATTTTACTTCCAGTCAATAAACCATTACATGGCCATGTTATCTCAATTAACGATTTGACTAAATGTGATACTGCATTGGACAATTTCCCTAATTCCACAAAGGGCGATTAATCCATGATTTTCAACCCAATCCTGCAAATGATGGCAATAAACCTTCCTATGAATCGTCTGTGAACTTTTATCACGAAATGTCAGTGAACTTACAATATTTATGAATAGTCTGAAAACTTTTGTAAATATCAATAAACATTCCTACAAATCATCAATAAGCCTTCCTATGAATGAAACCTTTCTACTAATCGTCAATGTCAGTTTGTTTAAGAGTTGTCAGTAATCCTTCCTACAAATCAAAAATATCCTTTGTTACAAATGGTCGTAGCAGTTTTTGCACAAGCACCGTTAACTTTATAGAAATTCAGTAGATAATCTTTGAAATCAATCTTAAACCTAGAAAGCAAATTTATTCGCCTGAAATTCATCCAGTTATGGCTGCTCAACTTAGGACTTATTACTTATTTTGTAACGCTTGCGGAACTCTAGTTCAATCAGTCGAGTATTCGACAAGACACAGGTTCTTGGTTCAAATCCTTGTGGAAGCATCAGATTAGATGATGGCTGGTACATTGGTTACATTGATGATGCTTTATGTTACTTTCGCTAATATCATTGTAACTTTTGGGAACTTATAGACGAGTTCTTAGAGGAGAAATATGTAACCATGGCAAATACTAGCTGCAATTCACTGCATTGCTATGGAAATCTCTTTAGCTTGATCGTTTGTGCACAAGACTTTAGTAAGTCAGAGATTCCAGGGTTGAATCCCTAGCAGAGGCAATGGAACAGACAATAGCCTCTTACATCTGAAGTGGATGTTATGTTGATGGTTGTCAAGTCTCCTAAGATGGAGATGTAATTCAAAACTCAAGACAATATCGGAATTCACAGTATTATATTTTGTTTAATTATGAATGAACATTAATCATAACAACATATGATGACAAATTAAGACAAAAGACGAATGATTTAAGTACAATATGTGAATAAGATGTTGAAAGTATAACTCGCATGGCTTAAAATACAAAATATTGAAATAAAAATATCATGACATTTGACATCAAATGGGAAGACGAGTACCATTACATAAAACAAGAGCTCAAGGGTAACTTAGCTTCCTACAATAGAGTGACATCATATAACAGGAAGTGACATCATATAACAGGAAGTGACATCATACATTTTGCGAGTAACTATATTGTAACCAAGTTATTTGGTCACATATTAAGATTGAAAATTTTACTGGCAAGAGTTTCTTCAAGAGAGAAAAATGATGCATAATGTGATTACAAATGTGATTATATTGAAGTTGCTGTAGAAATTTTAACAATTTAAAATTACATTTGTGGTAGGTTATAATCACGGGATACAATGATAAATGTTAATATATGTATATACAAAAGTATTAATATTTAAGTGTAAAATAACTATCCTGAGCATTCATAACTTGATTTCTATTTTCGTGATCCTTCATCATTGTTATGTCTTTCAACCCTTTTGTATCGTGTTTTCTTATCAACAATCTTCTTGATTCACCTGTTTATGGTCTGTGTACACCTTAGTTCTTTTCAGACACTTCAGTCCCTTCTAGAGAAAAATAAAGAGCCAAGAAAAAGCAGAAAAAACACTTATATATAAGGATATATACCATGTTTATCTTTTGTATCTCCTTTTCAAAAGAGTTAACAAAATAGAGAACATAAAACTTGACTTCCTCAATTTACATTTTACCGCAGGTAGCATAATAACCTGTTTGGAAAATCAATCATATATTCGTGCATTTATGATATAAACAGATAAAAAAAATCATTTATGAAATAAATATTGATATTTGATTGTTGAAATGTTGGAAAAGTGGTAATTGAACATGCATAATTTAATACTCTACAGAAGTATTTGAAAATCTTTGAGCTTTTGTTGAATAAAACCATAATTGCCATTTCCACATTAAAGTAATATATGAAATAATTATAGACGTTTCTTTCTAGTGTTTCCAAGCTGTGATTACCGAGTTGAACTTTATATCATTGGTCTGACGTGTTAGCTAAACATTCTGAGATCAATTTCTTGGCTCTTGGAGATCAATTTTGACAGAATTTTTGGGTGCGAACATTATGCAAGTCGAAGATTTTTTTACCATTTTCAGTCCAAAACATATCTGTGTACATTATGAAGGTTTGCATGTTTCGCAGGTTTTTACAGTAATATTAACAGCCCGCATAAATTCACTTCATTGAAATTGAGAAGCAGCATTTCAGGACATTCATTGACGATTTTTGGTCAATTTCACATCAAGTACAGTGGCCTGAAAATACATTGTAAAGAATTCAACAAATTTCATGGTGAACACTGAAAATCTCAACTTTTACCAGCCCTGTCAAAATCTGAAAATATGTGGCGATGTTATACTATAGATCAAAACATCCAAAAATGATACACTTTGAATTAATATTTTCTGTGGACTGGACCTGTGTTCAGAAAAGACGTTCTAAACTTAGCTCTGGTTTAAATGAGTAAAATGTCTGAGAAATACTTCTGAGTTTTAGATCTGCTTTACACCATAATTTTATCTACACACATGCTTTATGTGATTTGTGTGCATAACCCAAATCAAAGAAACCAAATTTTGTTTGGTTTAGTTGCGTTATTTTTTCTCTCCAACAAAACATTTGATATACCCTAAATAGATATGTTTTTGTTACATTTAAAATTCAAAAGACAGTTCACCGACTTTGATACCACGGTTTAAAATTGATTTTTAGTTACATGTAAAAAGCATCTTAGTTAAGTGGTTGACAATGTTAACAGACTTCAAAGTAGTGTTCCTGGCAAAGTGAAATCAATCTCTGCTCTAAAAAATTAAATGTGGTAAGTAACATCAAGATTTGATTGATATTAAGAGCATTTTCAAAACAAACATTTCTGTAAATAAGATATCTATGAAAAGTGTTCATTTTTATCTTTTCGTTTTGATGTCACATTAAGAATATTTCTGAAAATTTGTTTTTTTCTTCATGTATCAAACAAAACAGAATGGAAATTTAATCAGCTGCAAATTTTGAGTTGTATCATATTTCTTGATTTGCAGGCAGGTAGGTCACTATCAATGAATACTTGGTAAATGGATTGAAAAATCACAATAAGAGTCGATGAAGTGATGCAAACACTCAGAATGTACCTAATACAACATTTAATTCTGTTTCTGTCAATCAAAATGATCCGACCTTTACCGTAATCATGCATTCCCTTACATTTTGCCATAGGCTACGTCACTTTATCAATTTTATCCTAGATCTTCTGTGCGTTTGAAGTCCCTGAAAAAATGTACTTACTGAAAATGTACTCCATAAAGCCAAGCATAATATATGGTCCCATTTTTATCAATTTAAAACAACTTGTGATCAGGCTTTCCAAAAATGTTTTCATATATAATGCTATGATATGAATCAAAATTAAACCCTCTTATCTCTGGTAAGACGCTGAAGAATTGGGTCGGGTAATAGAAAGGCCATGAAAATATATAGGTTTACATTTTCTAAAAACGTAAATTGGATAAAATATTGATGGTATCTAAAATGTGTAATAAACATAAACAAAACTGAATCGTACCCAAACCACGGTTCATATAGTTTTTCGATTCACTTCCAATATATCGTAGAAATTCATATAACCTTTCAGATTCAGAATACTCCAATGCCAAAAAAAATCTTTTGGTCCCTGTGGAATTATCGTGGTCAATTTTACTCTATACTGGAAAATACCTATCACTATAAAAGTTCCATCCTAATAGGTTGTTTATTCCTTATCAAAAGTAAAAGTTGAAAAATTTAAGACTCCTTATACAAATACAAGTGACTGTGAAAACTATGACAAAAGTTGATAAGATGAAGTAAAATCATGATAACTTTTCTTAAACTTTTTGTAAAAACTTGATGGAAATTGGTGAAAATTGATAAAATTATGTGAAAATTCAAAACTATGATAAGATTTATATTATAAATTATGATGAATTAGTCACGAAAAAAAAAAAAAGAAAAAAAGAGAAATGATTGACATAATCGTTATTGATGTTTTATCAATTTGCCATTTTAATCTAAGTAACATAAGAAATTTCTGTTTACATATGCAGTCTAGTAACTTGATACACCTGTGCTATGATGTAAAGATGGAAACAGATAGTCAACAGTGACATGCAACAGATGTCTACATTTTATATATATATGACTCATGCAATAAAAGTAGGTCACTTTCATAAACATTTTTCACACGGCTATATTCTCATGTTTTCCTGCCTTTAAAATGCATCTTTTCATGAAAATTGAGAAAAACCTTGAAACCCTTCTGACAGTTTTGTGTAGATGTAACTAGAGATAAGGCCTTGTAATTGTGAGAGTGACTGCCAGATTTACTATTTAAGGTAGGTAACAGTGATCTGTTTCGTATCTTTAAAGAAAAAGAGTTCCACAATAGTTCAAAACTAACTAGAGATGTTGTGAGCACATGAACTTCTCTTGAAGTAATTCTTATCTTGTAATTGATGTGAACAATCAGGACTCCCCACTGTGTGATTGTTGTAAGAAATCTCCTATATTTAACCTTACAATTTTTTTTTTCTGTAACCACATGTTACATAACACAGAGACATGAAAAAAGTATATCATTAATATCAGAATGAGGTTAGTCAGTTTCCTTTAAAAAAACATCAGCTCAGGGTAGTTTTGAACAGACACTAGAATCTGCAGTAGTTAAAAAACAAGGCATTAGCAATACTCTCCTAACCTAAACTCTTTATATTTTAAAAATTGTATCACTTTAGGGACTTAATGTAGCAATGTTTCATTAGATATTAAACCAAAGATGATTAAAAAAAAAGAAAAAAATGCTGACACATTCCACAAAATGGTGATGTTATCATGTTACAAAAGTACAGAAAATGGATAAAAAATGGCTTAAGGCTAACAGCAGTGAAACATTCATGTATACACAGAGTATGTGTGTGGTTCTATATGACGAGGTAGTTCATTTACTAATTTGCATACAGATGATCTATGATCATGCAAGGTCACCCGATATCAAGGTCACCTCATGGAAAACAAACAAATGATGACAGCTGTGATAGAGGATCAATTGTTTCCAGTACCATCAATATATTTAACTTTTATCGTAGAAAAAAATCTTACAAACTTCTCCATGCTCAATGTCGATTGGAAATCCTTGTCAAATTGGTCGGAATATTAGAGTCTGAATGATGAAAAACAGCCAAAATTTGAATTGCAAAATATAAACTTTCAGGATTTAGGGCTAAATTGCCAAATTCCACTATAAGGTATGTGAGCTATGAAGTAGTTTCCAGAAAGCATTAAAGTCACAATTTCAATAATGGAATTTTGAGTGAATCAAAATAATGCATTATGAAACCAGTTCCATGACTTCACACTTCAGTATCTTGTAGAAACAATCTAAGAATTTCGAGAGTGATCAAATTTTTTTTACAGAAATCATAAACGATAAATATTTCTAACTTAATACCAAAATCACATTTTTGGTACTGGTGGATTTCATTAATGATGTCACCTGCCAAAATAATTTAATTCCATATGACTGTCCCTTACTTGTTTGTCCCAAGCATAAAATAATGTAAAATCACGTCTTTTCTTTGGGCTCAATTTTCATGGTTTTTCAAAAATAACTCCTTCATGCGATATCAATTTTGTGGATTAATATAGCTCAATACATCAACTTATATTAATTTCAACTGTTCTTGGACATAGATGAGTTTGTGGTTTGAGGGTATCCAAGAAATGAAGGAAAATAAATTCCCGACAAAAATTAATAATTTTACAGTATCAGTAATTTATTAATAGAAATATTAATTGACTGAATCAATGTAACAAGTGATCCAAGTTTAAGTTACTTTAAAAAAGTTGTATTTATATGAAGTACACAATAGGATGTAACACAGACCCTCAGATATGGAAGTTTATGAAATATTTTCAGAGATTTGAAATAAAAATTTTCTAGAACGTCATAAATCGTCATTAAGCATCAGGTTCTAACTTTTAAGAATAAAATATGACTAAATTTGGTAATTTTCATTACTATTGAATATCGCTGATACTGGAATTAATTCATCCAGTATCAACACATGGTCATATCAGATATGCAAAAATATATCTGAAAGTTGATGATGTTAATCTTCGACAAAAAAGTAGATAAAAACTTGCAATGATGAAATACTATGACTTAATTAATAACTTGCAGTAATCATTAAAATCACCGAGAATTGTACGTATGTAGCGTGTGCATGAGTACTGTAATAAAAAAAAGGAGTCCAAACACTCAGACAAGTGTTGATAACTTCTGACTATCTCCTTCGTCAGTAGTTACTGTCTTAAATCTGCTTTTGTACACATTGTGGTCATATGAGCCCCGTGTAGGGAGTGTCTGAGACTGACCTCTGACCCCAAAGTCAGTTCCTGGGTTTCTCATTTGTTGTGCTTTTGGAGTTCGTATGATGGGAACTACTGTGTATTGTTGTTTTTGTCCAACCGGAGGTGGGGGGACAGGTTTGCTTGGCTCCTTAGGGAAAACCTTGGCATTTTGGGATGACTTTTTTCCTGATGGTTTTAAAGTAGAAGCTTTTTCTGTTACTGGTTGACTATTGCTAGCACTGTTGTCAGCTTTCTGTTGTGATGACTTTGATTTCTTCTTACTAAACATACTTCCAAATAAATTCCAAGAGGATTTGCTCTGCATAGTCACACTAGTCGATGCAGCCCGCGGCCGTTGTTCTGGCTGCAGTTGACTAGATTCCACAACAACATTACCAGAAGATGGCATTTCGTGAAAACTATGGCGATACGAAGCAGGCCGATGAATCTGTGTGGCTAGATTGTTCCCACTTTGAAACATGTTGTAAATATCCGCTGAGCTTGCAAAAAATGGCCGTCTGCCATTCTGATTAACGTTGTCCACAGAAATGAAACGACCTTTATGTGGCATTCCATCAGTGCCACCATTTGCAAAAATATTATCACAACTTGTGTTTGCTTTTACGAAATCACTCGAAGTAGACATATTTCCCATTGAACTGACCCCTGAACTATTTGACTGATACGAGAAACTTCTCCCAGGCATATCACCTGCAAATGGCACACGTCCTCCATAATCACTACGCGCTGAGTTAGGACCCCTTGTATCCATGGAAACCATACTTTTCAAACTTAACATTGGTACACCTGAGGAGACCTGGGGTTGCATTGCAGGGTCAAGTTGTCCAATCCGACTCTGATCCATGTTTTGGGAATTCCGATGTGCGTGAGGGTTGTAATAATTATCATTTCCATAGTTTTGCTTCATCGTTTTTTGATGGAAGTATAGCACTTTTGAATCATCTTTCAAATTTTCATTTGTTTTATCGAAGTCATAGTAATTCCTATAATTTCGATCCATATCAGTGAATTTGTCACATAAATCCCCCTCGAATCGGCGTAAGTCCTCTGGAGGACCAATATTTTCACCACTTTGTGTCCTTGCACCACGCATTTCTATCGAAGTCCCAACCTCAGTGTTCCCCTTCTCGTATACGTTAGTCCTGTCATACGAACTTACTTCATTATTGTTAGTATGATTTGACATTTCCATCTCCGGACTTACGTCTGTTGCATTATGCATGTTTTGATTATTTTCTTCTTCTTCAATAATTGCCAATTGTCGTAACTTTTCCTGAAGAGAATTATCTTGCGATTCTACCATTTTGTTTCTCCGTCGTACCGCCCAAGTGTTCCGTGTACTTGGCTGAGAGTTAGTCAAAGCTGGCTTTATGATTGGTCCATTGAAGTGAACAGAAGGCTTCAAATCCCGTTTCCCAATATTACCGTTTCCCTGATTACATGAATTTTCCAGGTCAGAATTTGTTGTTGATGATGACGAACTAGATGACAATGGGGATGATAACGACGTTCCTGAACTTGAGTTTGTACCATAACCGTCATCTAAACTTTCGTCTTCCGATACTTGTCTTTTTGGGGACATAAATGTCACTTTCAGATGTGACCTGTCCCCATTTCCCTTTGACAAGATAGAATTTTTACACTCTGGTACAACCGTCACATCCGAGTCAGCGAAAATCTTTTTTGATTCATATTTCTGACGACTATGATTCATGCTTTCCTCATTTCTCTTTTCTTCTTCCGTAGTCATCATGATCATGGTATCAGCTGATGAATCACTAGCTGAATCTAACACATCATGTGGATCGAAATTGTCAAGCATTTGTGCTGTGACTTCCGGAGTTAAATGTTTCATTGGAGGACTAAGTAGGTCACCAACTCCCTCATCAGCCTCTTTCTCAACAGTCCAAATTGTGTCATGCTTTGTGACATTGGTACGAGTCAAAGGCTGTGGTTCTGGAGTTGAAGCACTTTCTTTAGAAGAAGAATTTGAGTCATGACAAGGTGACTTGGGAGAGGGTGGCATTCCATTGGTTGAAATTCTGTGCGGTAAACCTCGAGGAGGTATCTGAGGAGGAATATCCGATGAATCTGAATTACTCCTGCTAAAGTCACTTGGTTTGTTGTTTGTATTTAACACAACATTTCTGTTATCAGCTTGACTGTTGGAGGGAAGTCCCTGTGTGGAGTCGTCCTGCTGACCAGACTGACTCCGAACTGATTCGACCTGGTCACTGCGGTGTGAGTAGAGAGGAGACTTTGACTCATTTACCTGTGAATTGTTTTTAGCTTTGTCACTGCCAACTCGACGTGGCAGCGAACTAAATGACCTTCCTGTTGACCCTGCAGAATTAGACACGGTCCGGTTGTACGGATATCTCTGAGTCAACACAGAAGAGTTCGGAGATGTTTTTAACAGACTGGATATTCCCCCTTTGGGTGGGAACTCTCCAGCTTGCTCTGTTGACTTCCTCACATCTCGCCGGCTCCGAGGTGGTAGAGGTGGTGTGAGCTTGTCATCACGGTTCACCGTATCCTGTTCATTTTTACGACTTGCCTGGGGCATCCTCCTTGGTATGAAGGATTGTTGGTAATTCTCAATCATATGTGACGGCCGAGATGAGCTTTGTAATAGTTGATGGTGGCTTGTGCTGGTCATTTTGTAATGTTCATCTTTTCTCGACACTCATGAATGATTAGCTGAATATTCTCCTTGGAACAACACCCAATAACACTATGATTCACGTAAATATTCCTGTAATAAATAAATGATGACTTGTACAAAGTGTCAACATTAGAGTCATTTTTACCTGTGATCATTAAGTCTCATCTATATATCACAATCATTGAGTTCCATTCATTGCCCATCCACGTAAACTACATACCAACTGTCATCTGTTTGTGCAAAGTTATGCATGGTCACACTCGAGTAATCACCCTGGTCAATCAGTCAGACAGTCACAAAAATGCCATATATTACATTGACCAATGGTCAAAACTGACCCTCTGGCAAAAGATGGTCCCTTGCTGTAGACTATCTGGTGTTGGCAGATCTATAAGACCGACAAATTTGACTTTGTCTAAGTAGAAAATTTTATCAACACAGGTGAATCTACCAGACATGTTGAAGTAGATCCAATGAAAATGATGTTCATTGAATTAAAGTTTTTTTCTGGTGTAATCCAAAAATAACGGTGTTAAAATTGAGATTACAAAACAATTTCTTTTCCACTTCACAAAACAAAATCCAACAAAAACTGACTAGGATTCCTCAGCTCCCACGTTATTTCCAATAGAGTAAATCACCAGGTGAATTTTTCACAGGGTTGTTAAATCAGTGTCTGAACACAGGCCTAGCAGGCTAATTCTGCACAGTAATTCAATTTGGTATGCAACAGCTGGTAAACTGGTCAATACCTGGTCTGTTTCCTCAGGGCAGTCAATGACACAATACCTGTCCTAACCAAAGTAGAACACAATACCTGTCCACCGAAACAAAACACAAATAATCTAGTACAGTCATACAACTGGTATACCTCAACATAAGCTTTCTGTTCATTCAATGAAACTGGAATTTGTTAATTACAAGGAGCGCAGAAACAACAGTTGAATTTAAATCAAGGCTATTTTCTGGTGATGTGTAGTTGTGTTGAAACACTTTCAGAACAAATAAAATCCAGATTTTTTTCTTCACAATGCCAGGTGCGCTGTGTTTATGCCAGTGAAATGATTAAAGTGCAACAAAGACTTCTTAAGTCTTCGACCTCACTTCCAGCATATATATCTGTTTACTATCCAAAAGTTCAAACTGTCATTCTCCAGGTAAATTTCAAACCAATCATGACCTGAATTTTTTCCAAGTTAAGTAAAACAGGACAAAAACAGCCAGTTCTCCTCCGTGTATGTGAGGAGTCTGTATGGCCTACAGTTATAGGTACTTATGTTACATGCGAGTTCACCACAGTAACCTGTATTTCATCAACGAACCTAACAGATCACACAGATGCTCCACGCGTTTCAGCAGCAGACGACTGCCCTCTGATGTGCAGGATGAGTCAGAAGGACACTACAGTGACTCGAAACCTTACACAACACTTGCAAGTATCAAATTTACCATTAAAATCCAAAAATCGTCTTCAACATCACAATCCTATCCCCAGCTGTGTAATGGTAAAACAGACTTAAATTCTCATTCAAGTGGCAAGCAGCGGGCAATCTCTTCATTTATTCTCCTCTTTTTTTTCTCAAAGCTTTCCTGCTCAAAGCACAATGTTTTTATCTCGGTTCACTTTTTGGAGATCTTTGCCGACTCAGGAACGGTTTCCAGAATAAGTAGAGTGAGTGACCACAGCACCTGGATACTCTCTGTAATATAGGAAGACAAACAGAGTCAGTCAACCATTCAACCATGCAATTTTAAAGTGTATCAAACCTTACCAACATCTTTAACTTCTTTACAGAAGTCTGGTTATCTTATCATAAGTAATTCATATTGGAAATAAACCTGACATGTTCCTCAGGTTCTTCTTAAAACTTTTCATGGTCCTTATATAAAATATATAGGGATCATAAGGAGGACATAACTTGCAATAATGTGAAGCAAAGTATCATAAATCAATTTGGTTTTACACATGATCTATATTTATCAAATTTCACTTGTTTCATTTACAAATAAGGTAAATTTAAAATGTAGTGGAGATAGAAAGAATGATGGAGAAAAATAATTTTGTGTTTATACCCAAGTTATACTACATATTTTCAAATCTTTCAAAAGAAAAAAAAAAGGATTGATAGTGGGTTGTGAAAGATCATTGACTAGGTTTCATGAAAAGACTTCGCAATATACAAACAAATGACAACTTGATATCAATCTAAATCATTATATATAAGCCAGGTTCCTTTCAGCTACAGATCATTGTAAATATATTCTTACCAAGTAAGGCTTCAGGACTGAATACAATTCAGTTAAACAAAACTATATAATATCTATAGCTGATGTAGACGTTATGTATAAGATAAAATTTACTGCGCAGAATGCTTCTCTTAGTACATATGTACTTAAAAAAAAACAATCACCGAAAAAATATATAAAAGACCTTTTTTATAAGTGATATAAAATATTTTGATATCTAGATATTGTATAACAAAATTCATCAAAGCTATCAGATTAGGATCAGGGATTCTGGAGAACCGGAGAAAAGTATACCACTTCAAGACGGATGTGAACTTCCCACAAAACGACACACTTGCCATGTTTAAATCTATAATCGTGTAATAAATTTCCGATGAATCAGCATAAATTTCCAGACACTTGTATATAATGAAACCAATCGGACAATACCTTAATATATTATTAGCCTATTTATGTTTCCAGAGATAAATTTTTCATAAATCTTGAATTTCACCTCTCATTGTACAAAGTTGCCTGCGTCTAGAGCATTATGAATGACATGGTACATTTAAGTCCTACAGAAAATAATGGGCCTGTAAGACCTATAAATAAATGTTGGTGGGAACGATCAGATGGATTGTGACACTATGTGAAAGCTACTGGCTGTTTATATTGATACCAATGTAACATATCCTATCTGTGTCTGGGGCTGGCAGACTTCCAGTGTTTACAATAATTTATGCTTTTCAATACTGTAAACAGGTATCTATAATAAATATATAGGCTACAGCTGATTGCAATCTGCTGCATCGGTACATACAAGCTGAAAAGGCCACAGACCAGATGACATGATAGTTACTATTTGTAATTAGTGACAATTTCCTTGCTCTGCTATATTTATGAAATTCTTATACAGGTCACTTCACATAAAACTTATCTCTTCAGCAATATGTCCATGTCTGGTAATAAGCCCATCACCTTTATTACTGTTCTGTAAAAATTTCATTACAAATAAAAGGCTATTTCTAATCCTGAAATAAACTCCGCCCCCCCTCGCTAACTTTCTAACATTTCGACAGCTTAAAGTTAAAAGTTTAAGTGTCTTGCTTAAGGATACATGCACAACAACACAGACCAATTCAATTCTCAAGATTCCTGTGAAACACAAACTGCTACATGGGGAAGTTTTACAGTCGAACCACACACCTCGAATCTTCATCAAATGTTATGTAAGCCAACGCAGTAATAGCCTGGACTACCAAGGTCCCTTCCCTTGTATGTACAACCTGTTAGCTAACAGACCTGTTGTATATTCTGCCAAGCAGCATTATATAAATGGCAGTTATACAGTCTTTGAACACTGAACCACAAACAACTATAAGCACTGATCTATCCCCTTGTCAAGCACATGATAATATACCTCGTAAAACCTGATACCAGCTCCTACAATTTCTTAATTTCCACCAAAGCATTCAGAAATTTCCTAACATCAACGATAAATAAACAGAATTCATTTTCCGTAATCATCTCTCTCTCCATTATTTCTAATGTTGATGTTTTGGTACTGGTTCTACAATGATACAGACCATATTTATCCTGTTATAAGCCCAAGGGGTCAACACATTGCCTATGACACAAGAGTCAGGGGTGGGCTTATTACAGGTCATTGAAAATCATTATCATTATTATGTTCTTTACGGCCCGTCAACACATGAAAGGTTATTAGGACCATCAACCAGTGTAAAATATCTGTTAGTGAAAATCTATAGATATGAGTGGGCTTATTACCAGGTATGGGCTTATTGTTAAATAAAAACGGTATAAAAACAAATCTCTGTTGTAGACTGGAGAACTTGGGTCTATATTCAAAATAGTTGACCATGGTTTACCAAGGGGAGATAAGAAAGTTGGAAGAAATTGTAATCTGTACATCTGAATGTTAGACTACAACTACCAGTTCCCCAGTTTTGTTAAGAAAAACTCTCTACATTTTTCTACTGACTTATGTCCCCTTCCTTTGAAACTATCAGATATATCCATGACATTAGAAATATATGACTCAATTTTAATTATAACTGAAATATTCTAGAGACAGGAGTAAGTCTAAAGCAGAAGACTGAGTGCTGCGGTTATGGTTGGGTAGCTTTTCAAATGTTGATAACAAAATATCTTCTTCTATGTAAAAATCTGGACTTCACAACATTTTAAGTTTCTGTAACCAACACACCTGCTGCTGAATAACATCTTTGGAATAAACAGGGAAAATTTTCCAACATTTAAACATTTTGATGACTCACTGATATCAGCCTGTCTTCACTAGGAGTGAAAGTGAAGACTGAACGACTCCACCCTGACAGGGAAACAGATGATCCCCTCTCTAGGAGATAGTAAAGTAGAGATTTGAGAGGGGAGGAAGGGGGTAAAATGACAGGACAGCCCACCCCCGTAATTTAGGGGAGGGAAGGGTATAGAGAAATCATTATAAAGAAGGGAGGACAGAGGACCCCATTTAGGAGATAGAAACAGGATATGATGGTAAGATAGGAGGACATAAGATCTGCTACAAGGAGATATGCAAAAGAGTTTGGGGGGTAAGGTCAGAGCATTATGATAAACATAACACAACAGTTAGCAGGACAAACAGGGAGGGCTCCACTCTCAAAATAGCACAGAATAAAACACTTGAGAGAGGAGACAGCATGATTATTAAGTTCCTACAGGGCTGCAAGGCCACAGGAACACAACTGGGTGGTTATGCAATTCTAATT